AGGTTCTCTTTTTTTTGCGCACTTTCCTGGCAATGTAAGCGTAAGAAACAAACATGATAGTTGTAAACTTAGGTTTTCTTGCAATGTTAATGTGTTGTCACATACAAAATGTTATCATGATAAGAAAACCGCAGGAAACAAAAAAGGCAAAGAAGTGAGATCCGAGCAGCCGACCAATCTCTTGCTCATCGTCCTAACAATGCAACGCGATCTGACTGTACAGCTTGAGTAAGGTTGATGTCGAAAAGCTCGCAGCGGATAGGCATTTCAATCTCATAGAAAGGATTCTTCAAGACATAATCAGTGTAGAGTTCATATATGTATCTGAGGAGGCTCTCCATGTGAGGAGTTCCAGGTTCACAAACCACAAAGAACTTTGTTCCTAGAAGATATAAGTGAAAAAACCAAATCAACAATCAAAAGAAATGCACATAAACGAAGGAATGGTGATCATATCTTGCAAACGGTGATGCTTATTACCTGGGAGAGACTGGAAACAATGGAGATCAAAAGTGTCGGCTTCAAGAAGCTCAATTCCAGAACAGCCATTAACAGGTGAAAGCTGCTGCGAAATGGCGTGCATTGAATGCCATAAACTCGCTACTCTTAAGCTATCATTCGTATCCATCCTTCCCTTTGTTCCACAATCCTGAATTTAACCAAATACAACAACAGTCTATGAGTTAGGACTTGACCATTTCAGATTTCAGTCTCCAAGTGAAGCAAAATTAAACAATTTCATTTCCTAAAATGAACCAAATCAAAGCGAAAAAAGTCGAATTCTTTTCCAGCTATTCACAAACCCCTAAGAGCACTACCATAATCATTGCTTCTTCTAAACCTATTGATATCCAAGCTTTAATTTTTGGTCTATCCCTCGATTCAAATGGACGAATCCGGACAAATTAACACCAATTCGGCCGTCATATGAAAAGTCATAAGCTTCTATACAGCTGCGAGATCGAGAAAGAGAAAGATAAAGGGATCGTACCTTGTAAAATATCAAACCGCCAGATTTGTTGATAATGTAAAGACTGTAAATCGCTGCCATATCTGCCAAAAATCAGCGAGACGATGAAGATCAAAGGGAGTCTCCACTACAGATCTCCACCTGATGAAGAAACAAATGAAATTTTTACTTTTCATGAAAACGACATCGTTTCCATATCGATCGTCTCCAATCAGGCCACGTCGACTAAACGGTGTCGTGGGGTAAAGTACTATTGTTAACTAGCGACTCTTAAAGCGCCACGTGGGCTAATTTTAAAGTCTTCACTCAAAACGGTGTCGGCTTATTACTTTCTCCACCAACTACCAAACGTCTGAAGAAAAAGTATAAGTAAGGCAGAGAAGAGTAAGGGGAAGAAAGTACTAAAAATGGCGGTGACGGAAGAGGAGAAGCGAAACTCAACGGTGGAGATTTCCGGATTACGTTTCACGTATCCTGGAATCGACGGCCATCCACCGCCGGGATCAAAACCACTAATCGAGGATTTCTCTGTCAAGCTCAATTCTAGCGAACGGTGTCTCCTCGTCGGATCTAATGGCGCGGGTACGTGAATTTCGTTATCTGTCTGGCTTGAAATGTGTGTGTATGGGATCTGAATTTGAATGAGATGGGTGGTTGAAACCAGGGAAAACGACGATTCTGAAGATATTGGGAGGGAAACACATGGTGGAGCCGCACATGGTTAGAGTTCTGGGTCGATCAGCGTTTCACGACACTGGATTGACATCTTCTGGTGACCTCTGTTATCTCGGTGGAGAGGTTCGTGATGAATTTTCAATTCTCTGTTTTTACTCCTGTGAATGGGATTTGGATTAGAAATGCTGAATACAGTTAGATACTGAGTTTTGATTTGAAATTTGAAATTTGTTGGATTTGTTCATTTCCAACCTTTATGAAGCCTAAATCAAGAATCTGTTTTTGCCTCGTTTTAATTTGTGTTTTTAATCGACTCAAACTCACAAAGAGAGAAAATGGATAAGCTAATGATAGTAAAAAATTCCACTGAGAACATTTGTTTTCCTCTGTTTTGTTTCCAGTGGAGGCGTGATGTCGCATTTGCAGGATTTGAAGTTCCGATACAAATGGACATCTCGGCTGAGAAAATGATATTTGGAGTGGCTGGTATTGATCCAAAGAGAAGAGATGAATTGATCAAGGTGAGTAGAGAAATTCAAAATCTGACTTTGTTGAGATAGTGATGGTTATCTCAGTTGGTATTTAAATGTAATTTTGTGAAGTTTGGGAAAGAATTTAAATAAAATGCCATAATCTTAACTCATGTGTTCCTTGTAATTCCCAATGTTGAAAATGAAATCAGCTAGAGCATGGTCTGGCCTTTAATCATTGTTGCGTACTAAACTACTAGCATTTAAACGTGTAAAGTATGATAATTCTTGATTCTTTAGCTTTCTGTTTTGTTCTAATTCAGGTGTTGGATATCGATATCTCATGGAGATTGCACAAGGTATCAGATGGCCAAAGAAGACGTGTCCAGATCTGTATGGGACTCCTCAAGCCATTCAAGGTATCCCTCTCTTATGACTTGCGTAGCAAAACCACATTAAAGATATGAAGGATGTTTTAGTATGTGAAGTTGATCTGAGACTTAAAACAAAAGGACTAAGATTGTTATATATAACTTTCTTTAAATCGTCTACAGGTTCTCCTTTTGGATGAAATCACTGTTGATCTTGACGTTCTTGCAAGAGCCGACCTTTTGAAGTTTTTGAGAAAGGAATGTGAAGAACGAGGAGCAACAATAATCTACGCAACTCATATATTTGATGGCCTAGAAGATTGGCCAACACACATTGTAATATAAACCACACAATCTCTTTTCTCTGTTTTCTTTTTTTTTGTAAAGAACAACACATGACAACGTCTTCCATTGTAGGTGTATGTAGCAAACGGGAAGTTGCAATTAGCATTGCCAATGGAGAAGGTGAAGGAGACAAGCAAGAAGTCATTGATGAGAACAGTTGAGGCTTGGCTGAGGAAAGAAAGAGACGAAGAGAGGAAGAGAAGGAAAGAGAGGAAAGCTAATGGGCTTCCCGAGTTCGAATCACGTGCTGAAGAGAGCCGTGTGACCGGTGATCCAGCTCGGATGCTTAACAATGGCTGGGCCGCCGGGAGACTTCACTCTACCATTGCAGGCGGTGAAGATAATTTCGTCCTTAGCTCAAACAGAGTTCTCAGATAAGCAAGGGAAAGACTCCGTCTAAGCCAAAGGGTACTAATAATATTGTATGTTTTTCCTTTTTCCTACCACGAATAATTATTCTTATATTGTTTTTACTTTTTAGTAGCTAAATTTTAGTTTGGTTATAAGAGGGGTCAAGAGTGAAAGAGTAAGAGAGTGATACTGTGTTTTCGTTAATTCTTTTCTACTAAATTTACATTGTAATGTTATCTTTGTCACAGAACTTTTCAATATTGTATTTCGAATCCAACTATCAATATTCATTTTTAATACTCGAGTATGTTTATCAGAAGTATCATTCAAACTTCAAAGCAATTACGAATTGACCCAACAAATGTAAGATGTCACATTTGAAGTCATCTGTAATTTTCTTACGTTCGTCTATTGTTTTTGTTCTTTTGTGCCGAAAAAACTTGATGCCTTTACGATGAGATAATATAGGATTTATGCTCTCCACCATCTTTAATCTTTCTATCTTTTCTTTTTGCAAAGAAAAAGGTATCCGTTAATTTCGTCTTCTTCATTTCACATTCATTCAGGTAAACCGACCAAATAGACAGCCCACCATTTCTATTTATTTTTCTATATGTACTTTACCCATTACGTATATATTCGGATTCATATTGTTGGCCTCAATTGAAATGAAAAAAAAAATATCCATCTCGACCAGCCACATACAACCACCCAAAATAAGTTGTTCTTTTACCGCATTTAAGTATGTTCAGTGTGTAATGAATCATTGATGTAAAGTAATAACTAACAAGTAGCACATTTCGAAAAAGAAGGGAAAAAAACTAACGCCGTTGTTATTACATCACTGACTGATGCATCTGGATGTTAGCATATGTCACATTGGCATGGAATAGAAAAAAAAAAAAAAAAAAAAAAAAAAATCTAAAATCTGTCCAAATAATTACAGATTAAATAAGGCAGTATACATCATTGGTTGGTTGGTCCATCAACTAAATCATCAGAATATAAGATAAGATTCTGAAAAATCTGATTCAATATCTTATAGTATTACTTTTTATTATTTTGCTCCGATAAATTGTGATCGCAGATTGCACATGATGATGGTGTAATGCATTTACATCACATCACATGAATTCTATTCTCCTTTGATACATCACCTCTCATGCTCTCACGTAAGTACACACTATAATACGTATCGTACACCGTATATCCCGGAATTGTGGATCGTATAGAAAATCTGTAGATTCCTTGCGTATAGGTTTGACTGATCTAAAGTATAATGACGCTTGATGTACTTAATAAGTACGTACACCGACTAAATTCTTGAGTTCTAGGAACGGTTTTCTTTAAAACAAACATGAAGTTTTGAAAGAAAAAAAATTCAAACGCTATTTGAAAGTTAATCAGAACAAATAGATTTCAACACAAACGCAATGTCCGTTTAACCAACATTTGATTAATATTCTGAAACTTAGTCTTAATATTATTATATACTTAATACAATCACGAGCGTAAAGGAGAGCTGCGGGCTACATTTATCTTTATCCCAACCCTTTCTTTTTGCAGCCGCTTCAGCCTCTCTACTCTACATACCAAAACAAGACACAAACACACCGGAAAACAAAAGCAAACTCTAATCTTTAAATAAAGCCCTAGCTTCCAAACCAAGCAACCCCAATTCTTTCCCCGAGAAAATAAGGGAAAAATGGTAAAATCCCAATCCCAAATCGTAACTAAATTTAAAGACAAGTAGATTTATATTAAAAGAAAAAAAAAGCTTGGATATCTTTCCGTCGACTTTTGTTTAACTTCTAGGAATCAGACTCGGAAATTCTTGCCGGAGAAAGTCTGACCAAATTGCCAGTTACTCGGAACAATGTTCTTGGAGGTGGAGCTACGGCCATCGGAGGTTTTGACTCTGAAAGAAAGAGATTGGCCGACAAGAATAGCGTTGGATTGCCAGTTTTGTCCCCAATTCCGGCTAAGACCTAACCACTGTGTGTTGCTTCCTTTCACACTCACCATCTGGATGTTTCCTGCTCCGGCTACGTTAGTGACCAGCACCAAGTTGAAGTACTTGGATCCATTGATCGTGAATCTCATACCTCCCTTCTTCCTACATGGGATCCTGCAACACCCCAAAAATATTTATTTAGTATTGGTCACGTCTGAAAATGTTTACTCTATGAAAAAATGTTTTGATGACCCGACTCGGGTTGGGTTATGTGGATAAACCGGAAAATGTATGGGGTAAAGTAAGTAATTTCTGATTCTTAGGGATTAGATGTGTAAATAACTAAATTAATTGAAAATGGTGTTTTGGTAAATGATGGAAAGGTAAGGTTCGTTAGTAAAAGATTATGTCTTTAAAGGGACTAAAAGACAGAAAAGGTGATTGCATACACTCAACTAAAACAGTACGTTAATAGAAAAACTTTCTTGTTTGGTTGGTTCCCGAGAAAAATAAAGAAATGAAATCAACTTTCTCGGGAAAATAAGAAAAATATCGAATAAAGAACAGAGTGAACATGCGAAGGCTCTGAAAATCTTCAAGCTCACAGATTCTTAAGAGCTAAGATTCGGGATCCTAAATTTTTGTAAAGTCTGATGCAAAAGAAATATCTTTACATCTTTGACCGAGCAACATTTCCCGATTTCATCGGATCAATCTCGAAAACAGAGTATAGAGAAAACAGAGCAGAGAGAAAACAGAGTATAGGGAGAGTAAAAACAATAGAGAGAGATGACGTTACCTGCGGTAAGAGACGGGAACGATACCGGCCTTATACTTAGCGATGGTAAGAAACATAGGCATGGCGAGATCAAAGTGTTCACGAGGAGGATTACACCAACCGCCATTGTCGCTAGCTTGAGCGAAGTTTGGAGGGCAGAAGTTAGTGGCGGTGATAAGGATTGATGGGTTTCCGGGAAGACACCAACCGGGATCATTGACACATTTGAGCTCAAAGCAAGCGCCACAGCTCAAACCATTGTTGAACAAGGCCGTGCTTAAAGCCGCCGTGTTCACACCATAGCCTTGGCTATACAGATTTCCGTAGCCACACGCACCACCTACAACACCAACAACAGCCGTTATTAATTAAATGTCTATTCAATAACTAAACGTGGCTTTTAATGAAATGGCGTATTAGGAGATCTAGAGTTAAAAGTTAAAAACTTTCATTAAATATTAGTAAACACTTTGGGTTTACAAATTAAAAAAAAAAACAGAGGAGGAGAGAGAGAGTTACCCATAGTGCCGGAAGCGTCAGCTTCGCCGTAGAAGGTGGCGTGAGCGTTGATCCAGGGACCGCCGGTGTAAACTCCGGGGATTTTCGCGTTCACCGTATTCGCCGTCAGAGCAGCAACTACCATAACCGCCATTGCTATCATTACTTTCGCCGCCATTCTTTTATCTTTCAGTACGAACAAAAGTTTCTGATTTTGGGAAGAGAGAGAGAGAATTGTGAGAGGGAGGAGGAAGGTAGGAAGGCTACTTATGGAGGGAGATGGGAGGCTTCAAACGAGTTTACGGCTTTATTTTATTCTTTTATAAAATAAAGTACAGTACGTTTTAAGAGTCTCGTATTTAATGCATTGTATTTCTCTATCAATTCCCAAAGAAATAAATTTGTAATTCCGAATTTTTTTTTCCTCGTGGATCTGATAATAATATATTTGTATTATTATATTCCACCGAACTCACGAGAATGCATATCAAAGTGTCCAATCACACTAGTTCAAAATTTTATTTCCGAAAAATAATAAAGTTTTTTTGGTTTAGTTATGTTTTTTTTTTATTGCATCCTTGTAGTGAAGAATATTTCTTAGGAGTTATAAAGACAGAGTGTGGGTAAAAAAATCCAAAGATTTCGTAATACATAGAAGTTGTCGTAATTTTTGAAAGATGTAAAGGACTAAGAGAAGCTAATTTATTGTATAAAATGATAGCTATCCAAAACTTTGGTACTTATTCTTCAAAAAATGCAAAAGAACAACTGAACACTTGCTTGTTTCTGACTTTCTGTAAAGCAATAAAAAAAATCATCTCAGCTTTTTCGTCATCAGAAGTTTTCGTATTACACAAAAAGTTTTGTTCATATGCAGCCAGTATCTAGTTCTCTAATTTATTTACGGAAGAAAATAGGCTCTTGGTTTCAGCTTAGACTTTTAGGAGTTCTCGACTTTGAGTGCTGTGGTTTAGTTACCTTTTCACAAGAATTAATTATTACTTAGAGTGAAAACTATATGCCGATATTAGATAGACAATTAATTATCGGCCCAAATAAAGGAGCATCTTGGCCCAGTAACTAAACCCTTTCCGGCAGCTTACGTGGCTTTGGTGCTTAAATACGGCGACACTTAAAATTACCACCCGCACGCGATGCGAGTTCGCTTCACGCGCTAAAAAGCAAATCATTTTTACCCAAAATTGTTTCACTGATCTTCACTGATAAAGTGATAACTAATTAACTAAATATGCACCGATTAACAGAGATACTATATATATACTATAGTAATATATTATCTGATCATCATTTTTTTAAGTGAACTAACATCAATACAAAAAATAAGAAATTTGTTTACATAACTCAACGAAAAATGCGACATTGTTTATTCACTGTTAGTCAGTTCAGAATGATTATTTTTTGTATGTATAAGCCAAAGATATAGCAAACGCACGTGGTCCGCACATGGGCACCTCATGCCTTTTTCTTTGGTCAATTTGCGAGTTCTGCGACCAATTAGAAATTCCACATGAATCAAACCCTCTCGATCCGATCCATTTCGTTTTGTTATATTGCAATAATTTTCGAAACTATACGAGTACACCGCAAATATAAATGGTTACAAATATTTGAATATTTGATGATGGGAATGAATTTCCTTAACATTAAAAAAAGTTGTTTGTTTTCAAACTATTTTACAATCGCGAGTAACTTTGGGGATATAAAATGAGAGTGTCCCCGCATAAGTACACGGAAAATACGGTATCACATTTAAAAGGGCCGTGCGTAGATGCAGTTGGGCCTCAACTGATTGTGGGGCCCATCTTCACGTTTTACCGCATACATACTCTATGCACATAATTACGTTATCTACTGAGACTACTGCATATAAGCGAACGCATCTAATGTATAAGTGGGTACAAAACCACATGAATAAATGTGTGTTTGATCGGTTGTATGTAGAAAGAAATGTTTATCTGCTCAAAATGTAAGATTCTAATTTCTAAATTCATCCTGATACAGAAATGCAGACGATCGCATCATACACTAGAACGAGTCAAATATTTACATTCATATTTTACTTATACTAACCAGTTGAAAAAAAAAACAGTTCAGCTCTCTTCAGCTGATATATCTATCTGAAACTAACTTTTCGACTACTATATCCATGTGGCTTCATTTATTGCCACTATTTTACAATTGGTTTAATTCTATAAATAATTGATATCGAAGGTACGTAAGCCATTACCCTTAGGGCTTCCACAGTTCCAGATTTATAGTATACTCATATTTCTATTATTACTACTTTACCAACACCATAAATGTTTTCACACTTTTGTTGGGGTTTTGTCGATTTTACAAATTGTATTCTAGTTACATTGTTTTTTTTTTTGGGTAAAATGTGAAGATTAGTTACATTGTTTACACTGTAACACACGTATATCGTATGTGATTAAATGTAATTAAACAAGAAGGAAGAAAAAAGTCAGAGATTAATTTCAAGTATATTAATTTCCAAGAAGCACATGTGGTTGTTTCCAAGAATGTTCACCTAGAAGTCTAGAACTAATCATTTATGGCATTACACGACAATTTTATAAATAGTTACTACATGTGACTTAATTTTCCATCGATGTTGTTAATTTTATCAACTCGTTTACGTACGTAAGTAGAAAAGATTATAAATGCATGTGCATTTAATATTTGTTAGGATAGTTTTAGAAGCAAACAGATCCTTAGATCTCACTTCGTCCGTACCACTTGACATATCGAGCACTAGTTTAGTGTTTCCCAACGTAAAATCGAAACCTCCAAATTACTTTTATTACTAATATCATAGCTGTGTACACTTTTCTATCATTAATCATACAACTACAAAACTATCCTTGTTAGACACACCTTGAGTAAAGCAAAGTCGAAGCATTCATTAGAAAGGTTGATTGTTTTATTTATTTATAAGGTGTCCGAAGATCGTTTACTCGGTCGATTAAAAAAGGATGAAGTTTATAAGTTGATACTCATGCATAACTATTCTTACGTATATATCAAACTATTAACTAGTCGGTGACGGGTTTCAGTGGTTAGAAAACATAATGTAAGGAACATGGTAACATGAAATTATTCTTTTAGTTGTGTGTTGCTTTACATTTAATTTTTATTTGATGATACGCTTATCTACTAGACGTACACTTTCAGCATTTGACTATTTCATCTTCCACCGCAGCGAAACTCTCGGTACGATCTTGACTTCTTCTTTTTTAAAACAACGTACGAATTCTATTTCTTTGTTTTATTATCACTAAAAATATTATAAAATCCCAATTTGTATTTGTTTCTTACAAGCATATCCGCTTTGACTATACGTTTAAAGGCCTGATGCAGAATTAGAAATGTCAAATGATTGAGTCGTGTCTTACAATTTGCATTGAAAAATGGAAGTGGAGGAAGCGAAGTTAACTTTTATTTGGTTCAATCATTGACAAATAAGATCGAGATTCGAGAGAGTATCTGCATAAGGTCGCTGGACGTTTTGACTTGATCAATCGTAGTTTAATCTACACAAAATGTGATTGGTCAATTGATTTTAGGTTTAAACGGTCATATGGAGCTTGGAGATATATAATTCCACATCTAGTTAAGATTTTGACCGCACTCTCAGGGAAATCCAGTTACTGTTGTTGATCATAATTTCCCCAAGGCCTTCAGTTCAAGGTGTGTTTTAAGACTTTAGATCGATCGATCAAATTCAACATGGAAATAGTATATTCACATTCCCTTTTCTCTACAGAGCAAAACCAAGTTTCCTATACCGACTTGCAACAACATGTAAAATTGTATGAACCCTATAAGTGCGTACCATATTGCTCGAGCCACCCAGTTGTTGCGTCCATCAGCAAGTTTCCTAATCACCAAAAGAGCAAAGTAGAATCAGAGAACTGAGAACCTCTCTGTACTCAAGAACTAAAGTAGTGTAAATGATTGGAAATGGTGAGTTTACCTCTTTTGCAAACAGAAGCTCTCTATCAGTTTCAGGTCTCTTTTTATGTTTAGAGAAACTGATAAATTTTGATGAATTTGTCTGGGAACTAAGTGTTGTTAATTCTCTAAAGGACTTCTTTGAGAAGAATGAGATCGTCGCGGGGATGAGCTTCTTCTACTCGAACTTCGACTTCATCTCCCACTTGTTTTCCTTCTGATACCCAAGCGGTTGCTTGAAAACCCACCTGTAACACACATTTTACCGGTGAATGATTCAATTTTAACTCGCTTTGGTTTAACGATATAAACCGCTTAAAGTGAGAATTTTTACTTGGTTGTATTGTACAGTATTAAACAATTACCTCCACCAACAGAAGGGATGCGATCCGGTCTTTGACAAATCTCAAGATCAACGCAGTGTATTTTTTACCCTTTTGTTGTCTTCTGAGAAACTCTATCACCCAATAGCGGAGACCGCTGTTGCAGAGTTTCCTCACCACTCTGTTTTGCATGTTGACAGATGCTGCTATACCTTCTAACTCACCAGCTGAGAATGGAAATTTGTCACCTCCTCGAAGAAATGCCTTAATCTGCAATTCAACCAAAACAGAACTACTGAATTGGTAAATGTTCAAACGAAGATGAGGGAGGAAATCACAAGTACGTGTACTGAATTCATGTACTGAAATCTACGGAAAAAGGTTTACTTGGTAGTGCGCAGTAAGATCCATGTATCGACGAATGGGAGATGTGAACTGAACATAGCCAGGGATTCCGAGCACTCCGTGACGAACAGGACATCTGAAATTCATTTCTGCAGCACGCATTACTTTGACAATGGATGAGGAACGTACGGGTCCTTCTGGAAGATGCGCAAATGCAGACACATCGATATTTGACTGCGGCTGTCCTCTATATGGCAATGGAATATTGTGCTGAGACCCAAACGTTGCTATAACCTCCCCACAGAGTATCATCATCTCAAACACAAGTCTCATCGCCTGGTCTGCTTGATTTTCCACATAGAGGTTAATCAAAGGATCTGGATCTTCAGGATTCACCACTTTGATACGAGTTTCCAGTGTTGTTGTGTCCACTGCACCCTGTGCAAACCCAGAGAGAGGCAAGTGTTACAAAAAAAAAGTACAGCATCCAGCCAGAAACTTAATGCCTTCAAATTTTTAGATGAAATGGGTTTTGATGACAGACCTGTTCACGGCGCCATTGGGAGCGGAGGAAAGCTGCTTCGGACATCAATCTCAGTTCAGCCTCTTCTTCCAGGTTCAGGTGAAGCAGCTCAGAAGCACTTTCATATGTCAACATGTAGGTGGGTCTGATGATTGAATTATCTACTGAATATTCTGCAATACTGTAACAAGGAGTCGTAAGATACTGTTTTAGTTCCGAGTGTTCTGTCGATAAGAAATACAGAGAAGAGCAATGAGTACTGAGTTACCTTCCGTCCGGACGCAGGACAACAGACACAGAGACAGCGTTGCATATTTCTCCTTGTCTCAGGCTCATTCCTTCCATGGCAAGTTTCTCTGGAAACATTGGATAAGTAGCTGTAGGCAAAAAGACGGAAGTTCCCCTTCTCCTTGCCTCTCTGGAGCATATATACTAATAAATCAGAGTGACCAAAAAGTTTGCTCTTATAGTGATCATGAGCAGGCATCGAACTTACCTGTCAACTTTGCTCCCAGGTGTAACATATCTAGCAGGATCAGCAACATGAATCCAGATCTTTATCCGTCCATCATCCAGTCTCGTTGCACTCAGGGCATCGTCAAGCTGAAGAGATTCCATGAAACAGGAAAGAATATTGACAGTTAAATGAGATCGCATTAAAGACTCTGCAGAATAAATATAGCAGACTTAAAAAGCTACCTCGTCAGCCTCATCAACATCAATTGCATAAACCTTCAAGTGCGTGAGATCAATCCTCCTAACCTAGAAAAGGTCTGAGAGTAAGATTTTTGAATCTTGGAGAATGACTATGTCAACAAAAACGCTACTCTTTGAAACAAAGATTCACGACAAACACAAGAATATATATTTTTACGCAACACACATATCAACAAGCAGGGCAAAAGTGCTCACAGCATCCACATCAGATGACTCTGAAAGAAGAACTTCAGCAGCTTCAACGATTGCTTCTGAGTGGTGGGTGGGAAGATTCAGCTTAAGCAGATCAAGATTGACATGTACAGGAAAATATCCAATATCTATGAGAAGGTTTAGCGCAGAGACAGCCGTTTTCTGTAACCCCATGGATTTTAAGACCTGTCATGAAAGCAACCACAAAAATAAATTTGATTACAAAACTTGACAGTTTGCTTCAACAAACAATAAAGTTCTGAAGAGATGCTACCAAAGAAGAAATGTGTCTGACTCACCATTCCAGCCAATTTCCGCTGGTCAGTGCTTGCCCATGCATCAATAGCAAAAGCTTCAAGTGAGCTAATCTCGTCTCGGACTTTATCATCAGCTAGCCACGAAGATTTTGGGGGCTTGGCGTGACTAGGCGCCTTCTTGGCAGACTTCAACAATCCAATAAACTCTTCAAACTCTCTCTCTTCTGCCTCCTTCACACGCTGCCTGCGTAAAAGCTCTTCTACCTACCCAAAAACAAACAAACAAAAAAAAAAAAACCAAAGTGAGATTAATAGAAAGCTAAGGAGAACATCCTTCTAGTGACATTGATGAACCAATGAAAACAGGAAAAAAAAAAAAGCACAAGTAATACCTGTTCAGTACGCCGGGGGCTATAGATTGATCGAGAACCTCTTGACTCCAAGACAGAAAAGTAAATCTCGTCTTTTGATAGCAAAAAATGAGCACAGTAGCTTTCGAGAGGATCTGAGCGACCATAAATCATCTACAAATTTAAAAGCATTGTGACTCAAACCACGGGCTCAATCGCTGCATGTTCTCAAGTATATGGTACCGTACCTCGGCTAATTCTTCTGGCGTCACAGGTTTGTTCTTCTCAAGTAACTCCATCCAAGCAAACTCAAGCAGTTGGGGATCCTGCATCGATAAATAATAACTAAAAGCTCATTCACGGGTACCCGAGAAAACAATTCTAAACATTTAACAATGTCATCTACATACCAAGTTATCCTGAGCCCTCTGGAGAAAACCAGTAAGCTCTGTATGATCAAAATTATAAACACCCGGGACGATGTACGTAATCTGCTGAGGTTTGATGGAACAACTAACACCATTCTGCACCATTAACGTTTCAACAAATTAAACAATTAACAATCTGCAACCACTATACCAAAGCTAGCGCAACTATGAGTACTCAATTTGAAGCGAAACCTGATCAAAGACCATCCAGTTCTTCTTGCCATCAGGTCTATGAGCAACGGCCAACAATACCCTCTCTGGATCCTTCTTAAACTCCAGAAGCAAACCGGCCTCTAGGTCCTGGTTTACCAGCTTGTCCTCCACAACCTCTCCGTAGCTTGTTAATTTCACCCTACAGATTCACCTAATCTAGTTCAACTTTTGGAGCATCGAAAAGAGTCCAGTTCCAGCAATTTTGATTTTGTCAATAATCAGTATAGGGAAAATGAAACGTACTTCACACTGGCGCGAACTCTGATTCGGCTTCCCTTGCGCCTCTTGATGGATTCGAGCTCTTCGGAAACACTCTCGACCAGACTATGAATGCAAGACGAGCAGCTCAGAGCATCACCACCACCTCCATTTTGTCCGAGAAATCGCCTATTTGACCGGACTAGTGGAATATCTAACTTTAATTTCGAGAATTCCCGGATATGAGACGCTCTGAGGCGCTGGATACGGCGGCGAAATAGGGAGACGGGAGGACCGCCGCCGTAAGTGGCGGTGCGAATGATGGAGCAACCATTGATTGCCCTCCCCGACATCATCGTCACGGAACTATATCGGTGAAGTCGCCACCGAACGCTAAGGTTCGATAAGTAGTAACGGAACCAGTGGCTGAGCTAGGATTTTTTTTCTAGAGAGGTCAAAATAAAATAATAAAACTAAAATTTTAAGTTGCCAAATGAAAAAAGAAAAAGTTGTCTACAAATGCATTATACTTCCACTCATAGTTTGAATATTCTTACAATTATCTTATATTTTACATCGTCAAATAGTTTTTTTCTTCATGTAACAAATAAGACAATCACTTTAATAATTAAATGCGATTTTGTAGTGTGATTTTTGCTTGTTTAAATCATATATCCATATGCTATTTTATGTGTTCCTGTGAAGATGTAATGAAATCCCCAATTTTACAAAACAAAAATGGTATATAGTATAAACAAGTGAAACTATGCAAGAAACATTACCTGAAATTGAATTTAAATTGATATTTTGTATTTGAGATCATTCTTGTTAGTCAAAAGAACAAGACAAATTTATATTCTGTTACTTTTTTTTCTATATTTTATAAAAAAAAAATAGATTTAAATTTAGTTAACAATTAATTACGTAGATCATGTATAGTTTTTACCTGAGATTGGACGGATGATCAAGATCACATGAAACCATGTGTAGATCCACGAACGGTGCGTAATTGGAAGGACGTGGCTGGTTGATCATGTTGGCTTGACCGACAAGAAAGCTGTGAGAGATCGATGCAAATAGTTGTTTTTACTTACCGACAGGATCAAAAAATCCGGGGTTTGATGGAAGATGAGAGAAAAAACCACGGTTCACTAACAAGACTGCCCAAAACATGGGAAAATCGAAGAAAGATGTGAATCTGAATCGACTGATTTTTTATCACGCAAAAATATTTAACATCTGCCGAATCTTGTCGTCTGACAATAAAATGTTTATCATGCATGTAATTGGTATCAGTAGGAATGTCATTGTGGCATATCAGCCACACACATTATTGTTGGGAGTTCCACAAACACATTTTGCACAGTGCACACGTAAGGTTTTTAAGCCCAACTAAATATTTTAACTTTCTTAGATTAATATTATTATGGGATCAGTTTTGCATTTTAAACATGGTCATTTTAGTTTTTATTAAAAAAATAACACATAAAAAAAATATTAGTAGAGGTCAACTGACCATCTTTGCTCCTTACTGTATCCGTCCCTGAACGGATAGAACGGTAAATGAAACGGGTGATAGAAACATGAAACATGAAATTCTATGTTTTGCCCCGAAGTTTTACTAATCACAAATTATTCATAAATTTATAATTTTAGTCAATCTAGCCCAAACATATTTCTCGAAATTACAAGAACGAACCTCATATTATGGACTCTTTCCATAGTGGACCTAAAACTTTTATTCTTTACATGAAGCGGGCCCAAAAGTTTACTTAATCACAAATGTTCCTCGTAATTAAAATTGTAGTCACTCTGACCCAAAATATTTTCTTGAAATTAATCAAACGTACCGACAATTATGGACTCTTATCTTATTGAACCGGGAGATTTTATTTTTAGAGGTTTGATACACGCTACATACCGAGTGATTTATTAGCGAGTTTGCAGCAAAGATAAATTAAAAACGAGAGGTGACTTGAGAGAAGAGAGCCTTGAAGTCTTTGGTGGGAGCACCGGTTCCCTCTGGTTTTGAGCCGAGATCGAAAGCCTTGTTCTTAGCTTCCTCGAACAACAATGCCTGTATTTTTCCAAAAGAAGAAGGATGGTGATCCGAAAAAAAGAAATTTATATACTGAAGAAATCAAGGGAAGAATGTGACGATTTGATGATGAACAAACCTGAATGCAGACTTGAGCAACATCAGCCCTGGGGACGGTTTTAGTGTCGGTTTGAAGAAGCTCGTCATCTTTGCCAACTAACAGCTCTCGTGCACCGCCTTCCTTATCTAGAAGTCCTCCAGCTCTAAGTTCAACAAGAACAGAGATGAATCAAGTAAGAACAGGCTCAAGAAGACCGAGAACAACTTTCATTGATCCACAGTGGTAATAGTAGTCTTGTAGAAGCTCTAGAAAGAATTTGTCTAACCTGATTATTGTGTAAGGAGTTCCAGAATCAGCAAGGTACTGTTCGGCTTTTCTCTTCCAAACCTGAACACACATAATAAGGCAGCCAAATTTGAGCATTTACTAGTCAGAAACCACACTCATTTCCGAGAAATATTCACTAACCAGTATGTTCCCATTTCCCAGTTTGTTCAAAGGATGATCAGGATTGGTTCCACCCATGGACCCAACCAAGACAATATGCTTCACACCAGCAGCCTTGGCTGTTCATAGCAAATAAGGCACTTTAACCTTTAGCAAGACAAATCCAAGAAAGTAGAAGAGATTATCAAATGGAAAGAAAAATCCACATACCTGCATCAATCTGATTCTTCTGGCCAATCCAATCAACCTACGCCAAGGAACAGAAAAACAATTCATGTAATTCTTCAATGAAGAAAAATGAAGCTGAGATTGAAGGAAAGACTTACCTGCTCAGGATATTGCCCATCTTCGAAGATGAACTCAGGTCTTCCTCCTTTCGTGGGATCAAAACCAGGTTTCATTTTGGGCGTAGCGCTGGTGAGAATCACAAGCGCATCGATCCCTTGAACCGCAGGCTTAATGGCATCCGCATCCGTTATATCCCCAATGAAAACATCAGCTTCTCCTCCGATTTTCTCTTTTCCTTCCGGAGTCCTCACTAATCCCTTTGCCACAAACTTGTCTGAGCTCTCCTTCAGCTTCTTGTAAACTATCTGGCCTATCAATTCCATCAAAAAATACACATGAAGCTAAGATCATCGTCTTTCCAACGGAGACAACTTCATGAAATTTGAAAGAGCATTCGAAAAGACCAATTCAATTCCAGACTGGATCCATCGATCATCACATTCACTTGCATAAAACTCCACATTCAGACGAGAATTGGGCGTTTGGATCGTAAACATTTAACAATTACATCACTAACCCTAAAACCCCAAAGAATCTCCTATAGATTACGAGGTTTTCTCAGTAATCCTAAGAAGACGAAGCAATTACCTGTTCTGCCACTGGCGCCGGTAACGAGAACGGTGGGAAGATTCGCCATTGGAGAAGCTCTAGATTTTTCCGTGAACTCAATTCACTTTCTGAAGAAGCCGTTAAAAGAGAGAGTAATGATGATGAGAAGGAGAATTCAATAGGCGTGAGCGTTAATGACCGTCTGATTTGTTTGTTGGTGAGCATGACACGCGTCGCACTATTAGTGATACAAATGACTGACACTCTTTATTAGTCTCTTAATTGCATTTTGGGCCAAGTGCCATCCATATCTGTATGGGCCAGATATTTTGAAAGATGTAACTACGTGCCGTTTCCACGGACTCGTCGCCACAAAAACGACAAGTTTGTTTCCGGGGTGAAAGGTTGGTTCATCTTTATTTTCTTAATAATAAAACCATCAAATTATTGACTTTTTCGTTCTGTACAACTGTAACTGAACTCTCAAAGTCTGTCATGACTATATTTGTTTTGTCAGCATCTGTCATGTTATTAGTTAGAAAGAAAAAAAAAATCAAACTCTCACTTAAAATAAACTTACTTCAGCCAGTTTCAAGTGATGGCATTTTAGAGACTATAGACCATTAAATATTATTTAGTAATGTAATAATTATATTAGATACGACCGTGTTTTCGTTTTTTAACGTACTTATTTTTTATTTTATTTTATTTTTTTAACGTACTTATTGTATTTCAAACTATACTCGATCGGATGATATTGTGTGTTTCTCCTAGATGGTAATTATTAATTTCCTCATTTTTATTTAAATATATAAACACAGGTCGAAAAACAAAAATGACATTACGTCATTTGAAAAAAGAGGGCGAAAATGACAATGGTGGAAAATTAGGTACAACGGCGAAACACTCCTAAGCTTAGGCTGTAACAGACGTCTCAACGGCGACCTTGCCAGAATATCCAACATCCGACGATTTCATGTCGGACTCCCATAACTCCGGTAATGCCTCTTTCATGTTGTGAATGCTTTCCAAAGCGTAGTCTGCTCCTTTGACTTTGTTCGATGTACCAACCTGAAAACAACAAACTCAATAGTCAATTCCAAACCCGTTTAATTATTATTTGATTTTTGTTTAGTTAAGTTAAACCAAAGTAATCGTACCAGAACGGTGTAAAGACCAACGCGTTTTCCAGCTTGTACGTTTCGGACACTGTCCTCAAAGAACAACTGCGATGAAAAATAATTTAAAATTTTAGTTTTGTTGTTGTCCACGTTTTTAAAAATTTGGGGGGAAAATATAAAAATATGTTTGCTATACCGTTCGGTTAGGATCAATATTGGCGATTTCAAGAGCCTTCTCGATAGCAGATTCAGACGGTTTACACACAACAGGCGTTTTGGGAAGTGACTCGACCGGTTCAGACCGGTCAAAGTGTCCCACGATATCAAAAATCTTGGAATCATTAGACGGGACGTTTTTGTGCGTCGGGTTCAGCGTTTCGAAACATATGATTCCTTCAAAACAATCCTCTAATCCCAGCTTCTTCAACGCCTTGGCCGCGTGAACTCTGTCCGCGTTTGTAAATATCTAATCACAGAAAGAAAGAAAAAAATTAGTTAGCATATTAAAACTATAATATAGTGTATGATATTTTATTGAAATAAAAGTGAGATTGTAACACGTACGACTTTGCGGAGAGGAAGGCTAAGCAAGAGGCTGCGAAGAACAGGGTCAGGTTTTATGTTGTCGTACGGTAAACGACCGTGGACGAAGCTGTGGTACTCATCGTAGTCAAAATCATATCCGATCGCCTGTATAACGAGGAAATGTTAATTGCAAAAATAAAATAAAATTTCAAACAATAATGAAACTTATGAATACTAGTGATCACGTACCCTAAGACCAGCCATTGTTGTTCCATAGTTCTTGTAGAGAAGATTAGACAACTCCACGATCTTGTCATTTGGTATACCAAGTTTCTCGACCATGTAATCTATATTACAATAGAAAAAACACACCAATTAATTTCAGAAATCTCGTTTACATAATTCAATAGAGAAAAATATAACATGTTCATGTGCTAAACAATACCTTTGATGTTCTTCCCACATTCTCTTGAGACTCCAGTGCTTAGTGGATAAAGCGTATCGTCCAAATCTAAAAAGGATTTTGTGAACCGGTCAAGAAACTGTTCTTGTAATTTATCAAATTGACAGGTTTTGTTCCGGTTAAGTACGTACCGAACAAGAGACAGTCGTACTTTTGCGTCGCCGTGAGCCCGTACATGTTCTCGAACTCCATTTTCTGAAACAATTGATTGAAACAGAGATGTAAGTGTTAAATATTTGTTAATTTAAATAGGGTATTAAATCTGAATCACAGAGATTTTTCTTGGATAATAATGACCCAAAGGGATTTTTTCAGATTAGGTTTGTACTTTTAGGATAGAAGAAAACAAAACAAAACAGAAATAGTGGGGAGAGAAAAAAAACAGAAATAGTTTTGTGTAATGAATGGACAAAGTTACTTGTGTCCCAAGAAGTTGGGATAAGATTTTTTTTTTTTTTTTTTTTTTAAACGTGAACTAAGAGATTCAGCGAATTAGAACCACTAATTGATTCCAAATAATTATTGGTACTACACACACAAACAAAATATACATATGTATGACATTATGTGTGCATGTATATATACAACACATGTGTATGTATGTAATCAGGAAATAAACAAAAAAAATCGGTTGTATTACTGAGATCTCTGATGTAGCAATCAAGAGTAAACCGGCATAAACCGATGTATGACCAATATTTGACCGTTTGACTTAAAAAGACCGAATTTTAAAAACGAGTTATGATCATCGGGTAGTTAATTCGGCTTTAAGAAAACCATAGCACTAAAAAGCTAGCTGGTATTCAATAGACAATGACATCGAGATCATAAAAGGATGATTCATATGATTATGTAATATGCTAGACTAAATTAATATTTTCAGCAGAACTGTTTTTTTTAGCAACTTTAGACAAAGTTACGGGAAATTAGTAAATGAAAATTAAAATGATCGACGGGGTAAATTTTGTTTCCAATTCCTCTAAAAGTAAATAATAAACGCAATTTGGTGAAAAGAAAACAAAATAAACGGCAGGGAGTTTGTAAGCACAGCGTAGAACTGACGAAATGTTCGTAATTAAACGCAAGAAGGTGTTGAATGAGATTTTGGTAGGTATTTTTACCTTAGCCTTCAACAGAAGTTACCAAAAAACTGCGAGTGTAGAGAGAGAATGAGCAGAGTATGTTAAGAGAGAGAAAGGTGTAGGGGAAGGATTCAGAGAGGCAGAGAAAGGGTTTAAATAGAGAAATTTCTCTGGCTCTTTTCGATCATTAAAAGCTATTTGCAATTTTTTAAATTTATATATTGCTTTTTAAATATATATATTCCTCTCCTAACTACTTTTAATTTAAACCGTGTGTTCTCTAAGTTCTAACGTACAAGTCAAATTAAGATGGTCACCACGCCATTCTTCTTTCTCATTTCGTGCTAACATCTGAAGAATTGCAATAATCATACGTATCATATTATTTCTCAAATCCAACCTTGCCTCTCTAGATGAGTTCAGAATCTACGTGACTAATCTATAACACCAATCCTCTTTTGTTTCTTTCAAGAATTTCTTGAGCCAGCAAGCTTCTTCTATCATATTTACAATTATGATTTACTTTGATTGTAGTTTAGTCTTCGAATTTTCTTTTTGTTTTTGGTCCAATAATTAGGCTGCGTTAGTAATATATACTTTCAAGTTTCAACTTTGGGTATTCAGATTTCGATCGTTTAATTTGAAGTCACGTATAAAAACAGTAATACACCAAGTTGATCCACTTCATTTATCTAAGATAAACTTATAGAAAGTTGAAGCATAAAGTTACATATATAGGATATGATGAATTTAGAATATATACACAAATACGCAACCATTATTGTTGTGGAGTATATAAAATCAAAATAATCAGTAACACGTATCTCTAAAATACGATGATATTGTTGAAAGCTATAGTTGTTTCAAACTTTTTTCCTCTTGGTTTCAATCAATAATTGTTTGATTGGGTTTAATTATATAAGCAAGAAGATAGGATCAAAGCCGATCCTATCTCTTTGGTTCCAATTATTGAGGAACTAGAAGCCATTTAAACTTTGTTTTATGACTTTTTAGTGCGTCTAGTTCCTAGACCCAAGGACATCATATCATCTAGAACTTGAGCACATGTATTGAGACTCAGTACTTGGAACTTATGGACTCACTAAATAATTATTTTTGGATCTCAGCAAGTTGCGACAAAATAAACGGAAACTCGTTTTGACTGTTTCTTCCGTATAACCATACATTATTAATTTATCACATTATTGTCCATCAGTTTAATTAGCTTTTTCGATTTCTTATTCGAAAGCTGATATTTTGTGGATGGTACTAACCGAAGACTCATTTATGCAAGAAACTTTTGTAATCGATAAGAATGTTAGCCTTACATATGCACAGCCTGCTGAATGGTCATAAGGCAACACAAATAAAATATTACCTGATATTTCTCTTCATAAACGGGAGATTTTGGCAAAAAAAAAAAAAAACGGATATTAGTTTTTGAAGTATGTGATTTTAGCCAATATCGATCAATTTTTATCAAGTGACTAACACTTGGTTTAGTTGTGAGAACTGAAGAATTGGAAGTTGCATGCATGCAAGCCCGAAGCTTCCACTTTTCTTACTTGAGCTAGTGCGAACTCCTATAAGGTGCCCACGAGAAACACGAGCATGATCAAATATTTACGTTTTAATTATTATCTCAATTATTATAATTTCGTAGTTTTTTAATATTTACCTTCATTAGCTATCAATCACCACAGTTTATAATCGAATAGAAAAAGGTAAAATATATCGTTGACAAAATGAATGTGAACATATATGATGGTGATATAGTATTTAATGACATGTGCATCATGCATGCATTTTTCCATTTTAAAAGCTGTTTATTTATTTCTGCCGTCCACACAGGTAAACATTAACTCATTTATGTTTATGGGTAAAACTTGGAGTACAATTTTAATTGTAAAGTGTGTTAACTAGTACTAACCAGATATATGATAAATAACTCAACTGTTCAAGTTTGATTGAAGTGTTTACGAATTTGCAACTTGCACGATTATTCTCGAAACAAATCCAAATTAATCAATACTTTTATGGTTTTGATTAAAAATCAAGCAAAAACAAACAATCCTTTTAAATAGATAAAAATAAGTAAATATTTTCCATTGATCTCCGTATCTTTTATTTTATGCTGAACACCAATAAATAAAATCTTTATTCGGGAACTAGTCGAAGTTGTGAATCAAATAACTCTTGGCCCTGCGTTGACCGCTGGAAATAAGATCCACATACATAGGATACCTAGGGAAAGCGCTGAGCAACACTGATATATCAGATTCTTTCAAAATTGAACAGTTAAACGCTTATATGCTTGACTCTCAAAGACTAATTCAATACTATGATATTTTCATACTAAACAGATATCTTAAATCATGTGGACTGGTTTGGTATTTAATCATATGGATCTCTGCCCTAATAAAAACGATTTTATCAGACAATATCCCTACCTATGATTTAATCCTATATTGCTTTATATTTTATTTTATATCTATGAAACTATAGATTTTAAGCTTCTTGGCAAGTGTATAAATTTTTACCAGATAAGCTAAGACGTGAATACAAGGTACTAAAGTGCGAATCTGTCAGAATATATTTTTGTCATAGTTTTATTTTACAAACAAAAAGAAAGAAGAAAATAGGGTAGAGTACATAGTGGCCATATAATTGGTACTTTCGAAAAAGACAGACGAAATTTAGGAGGAAACACCAGCTGTTTGCAATTCAGCTTTTAAAAAAAAATGAAATAACTGGTTTATAATATATTAGAGTGGCAAATTATTGGAGTGGATCGTGAAGAAATACGAACAAGAAGAAACAATAAACGTAAGTGTCCTAATTAGAAACTTTGGTACACCTTTAAAAATGTTAGATATTTCATATTTGTTTGAGTTCCCCTTAATTAAATACTTTACTAATTTTTGGAATTACGTGTATAAAACTGTCACACCGATTATTAGGATTTAAATTATAATTGGTGTTTCTGATTTTGACTTATTCTAACTCTTATTTTCTCCGAGCTGTTGCATTTATATCGAAAGCAGCTAGTTGGCATTGATAATGACATTTTTGCTCTCTCTTTTTCTTTCAGTACAGAAAATGTAAAATCAATCAGGGTTGAAAATAATTAATTAGATCCGATCTCTTAGTACAGCGAGTTTACGTTAAAAGTCAATGTATTTTCGTATTCAATCAAACCGGGCTACGTATAAAAAGTAAGTAGAACTACGGACTCGTTTTAAAAAATGGTGAACGAGACAGAATTAAAGGTCCTAACAATATTTTCAAAGAAATATATATTCCTTAGTATTTGTCAAAATTTAATTGATATAAAAAGAAATCATCATGATATGACCCATATCATGAGTTCATGACTCATGTATAATAGACCCCACTACATTTTCCTTGTTAATTAATTATTTTTCATTTTAAATAATTCTGATAATTTTCCCATAGCATTAAGAAACAAGTTAAAAAAAAAAAAATCAAAACACTAACCATCACAAATATTAGAGAGTGTGATAGGGCCTCCCTCCATGTTCACACGTTGACATTTCTGTGAAACTACAATTTGCAAGAAATTTTCGCTGACAACAAAGACCTGCAAACAACTCTATTTCCACAAAATTTTGTTTGTTTTTATTCGAATAAGCCACGATACGTCTAAGAAACTCTGTTGCAATTTAAAGAAAAGAAAAATTAGAACTTACATGAGGACCAACCAAACCGATGTTGAAACTTAGAAGACCGAGTCAAATGATAGGAAGAAAAGTAGACGACGACACCAACAAAGAAGAAGAAGCTGATAAAATGTCATCCCTAATTGGAATATTATTTATTCATCGCCGGAACTACCAGATATTCTAGGAGCTCTTGTCGCCGCCGGCAAAATGTTCACAGCTCTTCCGGTTTAATTTCATGGGCTGGAATGAATATATTAGGTTGTTGATCTGACTGGGCCGTTGTTGAGATTTGTTGTTTGCTTGAGACTTTTTGGTGGTTATTCGGGCCTTACGTTTAGGTCTATTGGGCTTGGTTTAGGGTTTAACAAACTGATAACCGGCTTGATAAAAAAAGTTACTAAACCGATTGGTACGAATCTAAGTTTTTTGGCTTTTCGCTGCTAAAAAAGGAAGTCTTTTGTTTCCCGCGCAAAGGGACTTGTTGCGCAAGTTGGCGCCGCCACAAACGATAGAATTACGAATAAAATAAATAAAAAATGACAATATTTAAAAGGAAAGAAAATATATCAGTATTTAAAGTGCAACCAATAATGATGGTGGAGCGTCTGAAACGGTGCAGTGGGGTCACGCGTAACATAAATTTGGTGCCACTAACCACTTATATTTCACCACGTCAGCAAATCCAACTCACACTCAGCTGTTATTAAACAATCTCCACCGTCCGATTGATATGAAAAGAGACGGAAACAGCATTGTGTGGAAGATTCCCGTTTTCTTTCTCTCTCCCTCCTAAATTTCAGAATTCCCCAAATTTCGAAAATATTAAAGGAAAATAATCTGGAAAAAGCATCAAAAATTTCGAGGTTTTATCTGTTTATTTAATTTATATATAAAATAAACATCTAACCGCCTCTTCTCAGACTTCAAAATTTTTCCGCCGTACGATTTTGAAAACGAGAGGGAGAGGATCCAGAGAGAGAGAGAGATCGAGAGAATGGAAATGGTGGAGGGGAAGATGGAGATTTCGGAGGAAGAGTGTACGACGCCGAGAAGCAGGATTCCGGTGGCGTCTGTTTGTCCTCCCCCGCCGAGGAAGAAGTCAAAGGTTGTGAGGAGAGATCCGCCGATTAACGGTTATTTTCAGCCGCCGGATCTGGAGTCTCTGTTCTACGCACAGCCTCGAAGAGAAGCTGTCGCATAGATTCCAATCATTTCTAGGGTTTGCTTTCTTCTGTAGATACATGTTTCGTATTCAGCGTAGAATTGTCCTTTTGAGATCCTTTCAGATACGACTGTGTATCGAATTCGAATTTACTCAATTGCGATCTGTTTTTATTTTCTCTTTCTCAGAGTCAGAGTTCTTCTTTTCTTATTGTTAGGTGTCGAATCTCGAATTCCCCAGGGTTTTTTTATGGGTTGTGTTTCCATTTCTTGTAGATCTGATTCCTCTTATGGGAGAGACAGAGCCTTTGTTATCGTTAAGTGATTGAAAATCTGTTTCTTCTCGTTATTGACAAAATTTAAGAGTTTTTTTCTTAGATACAATCGAGAAATTGAGATCACAAACCTTTGAACAAGACAACATCAAAGAGCTTACAGAATATTGCATGCAAATGACCATTACAATCCCCTAAGGTTTATTTCCTCTGTTCTGGTTTTGTATTCGTAACCAAAAATAAGGTGAAAATATTTACATCATAAGTTCTGAAAAGTATTGTTCAAACTCTTGATCAATGGTTGGTTTCGTGGTGGCTTCTTCGGAATCTGCAATCCAATGGTGACAATATCACTATGAATCCCACAAAATGTGATTGCTAAAACACACAACCCTTTAGCTTTTTCATTAGTTACCTTGGTTGCTAACACTCCATCTCGCAGAAGAAAGAACGTAAGTCCCAACAGGATTCAGAACCTCTTCAACCGCAGACTCGGGACAAATGAAGTCCATGTGAGAAAAGTCTTCGACATCTTCTTGTGTTTTGTCATAAAATTTGGAACTGCAGTATTGGTCTATGCTTGATATAGCAGAACCTGAACTTGAGCTACCGGTTGAATAACAAGAGTCTTTAAACATGTACGAATAAGCCCCTGTGACAGATGCAGAAGAAGAGCTCTCATCGCCGGTTTTTGTGTCTTCCATAGCATAAGAGCATTCTGCAGTGTCTACGTCTGATGATGGACATGAAGAATCAGGAAGAGAAGCTTGTTGCTCCAGACAAAAGTGTTTCGGTAAGGGTAACAAGTCTGATTCTTCAGCTCGCAGTTTCCTCTTTTTGCTTGACTCAAGAGATTCCTCAGCAACTATCATCGGATCGCCGCTGAAAGCAATTATCGAATAGTAAAAGTTGTGAATTTCCACTACATAAAGCAATCGTAAGATATTTTCCCAATGCTTAACTCATAGTCATTAAAATTGCAAATGAAAGGTCTTAGGACAAAAGATTCCACACTAATGGCACTTATTGCAGTAGAAACAAAAGAGAAGAAAAAATATCTAAACTTTTTAACACAGTGATACCACTAAGATAAAGAGAAAGGACAAATCGGGTTACTTCAGAATCTAACCGAGAAGAAAAAATTGGATAGATTAAAGATACGTTATGCTTAAGATTCAAGTGTTTAGTATCTCTTAAGCCTTCTCTGGGTTTCAGTATGAAATTCTTATACTAAACACATTTCGACTTTAAACGAAATGAGAAAAACCATTGAACATCTTACAGACAAGATACTTAGCTCTGATCAGAAAGTTACGATTCACAGCAGCAAAAACTTTTCGGAAACACACAGAAGCAGAACACGAGAGTACAAGACAGTTTCAATAAAAGAATCGGAGACACCTGGAGTTATTTTCAAGATTTAAGATACAAATTTCACTCTGTAAAGATTCATACAATTGCTTTATACAAACATGAACATAAGAAATGAAAAAGAATATATATTTATGTTTGTGAGATATATGAGGGGGAAAAAAGAAACCTAGGATCCAGCGGTGGGATACTATATTCAGCTGCATCCATGATTTAAGAAGATACTACCAACAAGAATTTTCTTCCTTCCTCGAAACCCAGAAATCAGTTTTGTTGTTGCTGATGATAGTGATGAAGTGATTATGATGTCTTGTGTCTGAATATACTTTTTTAAAAGTTAAAAATCCTTTTTTGGTTTGGTTGAGAAAGAGAAAAGCAAACCCAAGTTCTCATACAAAAGCGACTACAAATCACGGCCTGAGTTGGCGAGCAACCGTTGGGTCATGGTTGAGGCCGCACGTGTTACGGCGCGTGAGCCAAGAATATCTCTAGTAAAAGACAGTAAACCGAGAGCTGTTCCCACGTGGGAGTGATACTTCAGTGGGCCCTGACGTCTAAAGAACACGTCAGCAACTTAAGAATGTGAACACGTCTAAACTTTTCGTGTTCTAATGAAAAGTTTGGTAAAAAAAAACGACCATCACGAGTCTACAATGTAATCAAGCCGCTGAAAACTTGCTCAATCGGCTCATCACCAAATTCCCCAAAACTTTATTAACAATCGTTTGTTTATGTTTTCTGTCAGCAACAGTAATGGTTAATGATTAACACTTGAAAACAGAGCTTAAGGCTAAAAGGGAAAATTAATTACGCAACGAAAGTACCGTGTTAAAAAATCAAAGACAACTACTAACAACTCGAAGTTATTACCCATACGCACGTGTTGGCATACGAGTCTCTCTCAAGTCACGTCTCACGTGCACCTTGTACTACTACATAACCATAATTCTACGCAGCTGCAAAACAAAATCTATAATTACACTGGTATAGCCGATTTCCCGGGTTGGTTACCTACGGTTTAAGATCCGATTCCGAGTCTTTGACCGGATACATCACATTCTACCGGAGCTAAACCGATTCGTGATCTCTGTAGATCAAATTCGATCCACATGTTCTGCTGATGATGGTGTCCAATCACGTATGCCTCCATCCCCATAAGATCGGAGTTTCCAAATGTGAAACAATAAACCGAATCGTTCCCAACCGTGAGATGCGGCACTCGGTATAATAACGGCTGACCTGATACCGCTATCTCAGCTCCTTCAAATACCAGAGAAACCGTCGGTAACCGGTGGAGAATCCCGGTCCGGATCCGAGCAGGCGAAACCAAATAACACAAATCCATGGTTCCTTGGAAAACAAAATCCGGTTCGTCGTAAACCGTCAGGATCCCGTTTGTCTTGTTTAAGAATTCGGTTCGAAGCGCGGTGTAAACTGGTCCGAGCAAGAAAGTAAACTGAGTACCGGAATCAACCATGGTTTGACCTGCACCGGTATGATCCGGTACGAGAACCGACTTGGGGATAGGTAAAAGCTCACCGTTAACTTTAATTCCCGTGAGCTGGACGGTGTAAGCGACACGGTCGAAGTACGGTAACGGCGTCGAGATCCGTATTAACGGCGTGTAGTTTAACGGCGTCAGCCACGTGAAATTGGAGTCGCCGAGGAGAAGAAAACCCGGGAAATCGTCGGTGCCGGAGATGCAATACGAGAATTTGGGGAAACCCATCTGAGAGATGAAAGAGAGGGACCCACGGTTCATGCCCAGTAACCCGGTTGTCTTGTTGTCTTCTTCCGGGTTGGATCCGGAAATGGATCCCATACAGCCGAAAATGAGACTGGAGCCGTTGGTGGAGTTGCCTATGTGGAAAATCTCGGCGGCAAGGTTTCCTTCGGAGGAGGAGGCGTCGGCGTAGGATAGAGTTGCGTGGCAGAGTTTGTCGGAATCGCAGGAAGCGGGTATGAGGAAATCCCGGGTCCGGGTCCGGCAAGTGGGTGAGGAACAGGGGATTGGAGAGTAAGAGGATGAACGGGTCGGGTCGAAATTGTTTAGCGGGTTTGGGTTTGAGGTACGGTTGCAGCGAAGCCAGGAGAGTTCGCTGCCAGTGTCGATGACCATGGAGATGTTTTGAGGAGGAGTACCGACGGTGAGAGTGACGGTAAGAGTGACGTTGTGATGAAAATGGAGTTTGTCGGTGGGTCGATGACCCGAATTATCCGCTGGGGTTATTCGGGTCTTTAGAGGCAAAACAAGAGTTTGGGAAGAAGACGAAGAAGAAGAGAGACATTGAATCGTTCTAATGAAAATAATAAGAAGAAGAGGAAACAGAGGATGGAATCTTGGAGACATGATGAGAGAATCTTGATTATATAAGCTTTTGTAGTTCTTGCAAAAACAAAAACAAAAAACTGAGTTTGTGTGAATGAAGAAGAAGATAAGTTTGTGAGTTTGGTGCAAGTTCACTGAACAGCCATGATCTTTGTCCTTTTTTTTTTCAGTTGGAAAATATCTCTGTTTTGTTTTCTTTTTATCACACGTTAATATCAATATACTTTCTCATAGAAAAATAGTTTCTTAATAATAATATTTCGCAAGTATTATATTCACTGTTAAACTATTGTTTTCACATACGAATTATGAATTTAGTTAATTCGTCTTTATAAATAACTGTAAGAAACAAATGAGCATACATGACATGGACTAATGTACATACTACAACTTTAGAATAAGCTCAATTCAGTCAGATGATTTTTAAGGTGGGTCTCCAGTGAAGATTGCAAACGGCTCTCAAATCTAGACAAATAATTAGGGGAATGATTTTAATATTGTTAAATCTCTTGGTAGGCTGAGTTTCGTTATAATTTTAAATACATTTGGCTTACACTTTTGTTTACAGAAACACTTAAAGCATGTGCGTTTACCTTGGTTTCTTCACTTTATTTGCCATGGAAGTTTGGACGGTGCGCATATCAATAGAGATTCAGACATTTATCTACTCCAACAGTCGATTTTCTCTACATATTCGAAAACTTGCTTGTCTTTGTTTTCGGTTCTAACTTCACCATAGAACACATGCGATTCATCACGAGAGGTTACTTATGAGATTATCGAACAAATTAAACTAGATCATAGTTAGTCTTCGAACAAAACCTCACAATATATATGATATATCAATGTTTTAAACATTCAAAATGATTATATATAAAAGTAGTTTCCACAGATTTTCCTAAAACCATTGAAACAATTAATATCCACAAAAAAATAAGGAATAAACAAGCTGTAAGATGAGCAAATGAGCTGATGTTTACTTTGTGAATATGAATTAAAATGGACGGAAAAACAAAAACAAAAAGAGTTTGAGATGCGACATCCACATGGAAAAAGACTTTTGAAAATAGAGAGGGATGGTTGCACATGTTGTTTGCCTTGCTGTTTTTAGGACAAAACCCTATCACTTTATGAGTTTGGGTCCTTTTCTCTTGAATCCTGCTCCAAATCAGGACACCTTTCAACTTACCGATCAGTCTTATAACTTCTTCCTATCACTTGCCCACTAGGTAAGGTCGTGTGACATATTAATTTGAAAGCACAATATTAATCTCTAAATTTATTTTTTGAATAACTGCCAAAACTCGGACATAACAAATGTTAAGTCCAAAAACATATCTGCTCCTAGAACTGAACGAGAACAAAAATGAATAATATTTCCTTTTGTTAAATGATTAAATCCAAACCATAATACATAAGAATGATGATATATTTTGTTACAATTAACAAAAATCCAAACTGAACTACATATTTGGTTTCATCTTGGCTTAACCCAAAAATCCTGAACCAAAACTATTTATAATACTAAACCTTATATAACATAGGCACATAGTGCATCTAATTTAAAGGACCATAAAAATTGCAGCCATGTCATGTCAATTGGTTGGCTAATCTTGAGATAGCCGAGTAAGTACCACAACAACCACTCACCACCCCGAAGATTATAATGAACACGCATAATCCGATCTGAACAAAAATTAACACACAAAGAAGATCAAATTAAACCCTGGTTAAGACTAACAAAATTCTCCACGAGAATCAAATCATTATTTCGAAGAATGTCTATAAACGGAAAAAAAAAATGCAGTAAAGTAGATATGTTCTTACTTGTGTGTTATTTAATTTACCCTTGAGGATACTGAGATAACATAGGCATGGAATGATAAGAGCCTGCAACCAAAATAAACTTTTGTTTTCGTGGATTCGATCAATTTTTTAATATTAATTATTCATGATGATGAACTTACCACAAGCATTGCAAGGAACGATCCGATTAGTGCAGCCACAATCGCTGTAAATAAGAAAAACCGATTAGAGAAGCTATGATGAAATGGGTTTCTTGCATAGGAAGTTACAGAAATGAGCTTGTTATTAGGTCACTTGCTCATGACGTTATGAAAAACAGAAATTACCGAAGAAAGGAACGGAAAGAGCCACGACTAAGGTTGAGGTAACAAGGATTGTTCGGAAGACTATCGATACACCATGCGATCTCATCTTAGCCGTTGGAATGAGTTCTTCGAGACTCAAAACAATTGGGGTGATTGTTAACGCGTATTTTGTCATCGGTGTAACGACCTATAAGATTGATGAAACTCAATTTCTTGATTAACTAAACATATATACAGTGAATCGATGAGAATGATGTATCTTACCGCTGTCCAAACCGCAATTTTAGATGATAGGAAGTGTTTAGGCATGTTTAACGTGAATTGTGATTGGACAACTTCGCCAAACATGGTGTAACCGCAGGTTGCTACTGCTATGTATAAGACCGTACAGAAACTAAAGCTGCATAAGAAAGAAGAAAGAATTAGTCTATATTAGGGTACCTTGAGAAACAAGTAAGCAGTGATTTTTGGACTTACCAGATGATTAAGACAAGAGGAAACTTTGAAGGATCTTTCATGGAAGAATATATGTTTGGAAAAACAGAATGACCTGAGTAACCAAACCCAAATATCCCTATCGTAACAGGCAAGTTACTGAGATCCAAAAGTCTTCCTGTTGAGTGAAACCCGATTCCATCGACCACACCTACCCAGAAGAGGCAGAGACCGAGCAAGATCGAAGCCAAGACTCCTCCAACTACATTAGAGAGTTTCAAAATCGCAAGATTGGATCAATTAAGCGAAAGAAACAGAGAGATTTCAGAGGGAAGATCAAACCTGAAAGATAAGAAAGCAAACTAAGATCTTTAAGCCAGACTGTCGGAAGAACAAGAAGAGTTGTTAAGATTGCAAAGATCTGAGCCGAGTCTAGAGAAATCCCTGCAGCAATGCTCAGTGAAACGTTTGGGAATAGTCCTGATAAATTATCGCTCATCATGATTATGTATTCCACACAAGCTGCCTATTTTTTTTGTAAACGAAAACAATTGTCAACAGTTGATTGAAAAATTTAAAGAGTATCTAATGTTAACGAAGATGAAAACTTACGTACAACTCCACGTAGAGAAGGATCTGTGATTCAAGAAACAGAACAAGGTTTCAGTTTTAAGAACAAGAATCCTTAAAAAAGCTTTATGGTAATTTTTGTTGGATGGATGATTATAAAAACTTACGGAGATGACAAAGCGACCGGTGATACCAAAGGCGGCTTGACCGATATCAGGGTAAGTTTGAAGACCAGGAGAGCTTTCTAGACATCTCTTCATGAGAACACCTGTGTAGCAAGTGATGACTCCAAAGAGCACGAGTATGACCAAACCAAGCCATCCACTTTCTTTTATAGCATAAGGCATTGTTATTAACCCTAGTCCACACAGAACATTGGTTCCTGCAATCATAATTACAAAATGGCGATGGAATGATACAACAGTCACCATTAGGGCTTCTTAATTATCATAATAACTGTTAAAGTGGTGATTTTACCGTTGAGGACGGATTGAGAGAAGGAGCAGAGATTAGAATCTGGTAAAGGAAGATCGGTGACGGATAGCTTCAGCTGAGATGGAAAATTGGGGGGCTTGACAGGTAATATAGTCTCTTCTTTGTCGGAGATTGGTTGAGAGAGGAGAGGTTTGCTTGAGGAAGAAGAAAACGAATCGCAAAATGAAGATTGTTGTCTCTTGTGGAAGGAAGAGGCATTTCTCCGGGAACCGCTTCGAGGCATGAAACTCAACGAAGGTGGAGTCATTCCGGTCAACAAATCCATTGATTGCCTGAACAAAAATTGAGATTTTTTGAAATCCGAGAGAATTAAACAAAGGAAACAGAGGAAACTGATGATTTTTACCGATAACTTTGTGGCCATGGAGTATTTGAGACATCCGAGAGATTGTTATCGGAACGGTTTCGAGATAGTGGAGAGGAGGAATCGGAATTCGAACCTCCTCTCCGACCGGCACCGTTTCCGTCGTGTTCATCGTCGGAACAAGCAAGCTCTGCTTGATTTTCCTCGTCATCTGTCAGAAACGAATGGTCTCTGTCGTGTAAGAATTCTTCGTCGAGTTTCATCTTCCTCTGTTTTCTCGATCTGAAGGAAATGCAGAAGAATTGTGCAGAGAGAGAGAGAGAGAGAGAGAGAGACGGAGAACGGGTTTTAGTTTCCGGCGAGTCAAAGAGATTTCTTCTATATATGGAAACATATCAATGGAGACTAAAATATTTAATATTTGTTTCTTCTTTTTTTTCTTCTTGCGGTGTAGAATTGATTCTGACGATATTCTTAGGATTTGTATTCTACGAACTTGCAAAATATTATTTTTTGTCTTTTCTTCTGTTGACTAACTTCCAAATCTGTAATTATCTATCAATTTTACACCACCAGTCCCATTTTTCAAAATATTCGTTTATTTATTAGTAGTTTGAAAAAGTAAAAAAAAAAAACAAACACATTTTGATATGTAACACAAAAGAGACTTTTTGGTTTATCGGAAACCGGCTTCTGATCAAGGTATCCGGTATAATCAGGCCATTTGGCCGATTAACCTGGCGATCGCAGCGTAAGTCCCGCAGCAACTGCTGACAACGCCGACGATTATGACGAAAATACAAACTCCGATCTGAAAACCAAAACTATTTCAATCAAAGCGAACCAAGAGTTTTTTTCTGTTTTTGTGAAGCAATCATTGACAAGGAAATAGAAAAAAAAAATCGAGCATTTAGATCGAAGTCTTACTTGGAAGTTAGTTAATCTACCCTTCATAATGCTGAGATAACATAGGCAAGGGAATATCAACGCCTGAGAAGACGAAAACCGAAATCGTTATCGAGAAATTGTTTTGACCGTTAATTTCCGAATCAGTGGTAGTGATATATGGAGACTTACGATAAGCATTGCGATGAAAGATCCAATCAGAGCCGCGACAGTAGCTGCAATATAACGCTATTACATTAGCGACGAGTTTGGTCACGCTCACGCACGTGTTATTGTTTTCAAGAAAGGCGTTTCTTCAGCAAGAAGTTAGGGTAATATTGAGAAAGTGTTTGTGTGTGAGACAGAGAGAGAGAGATTACCGAAGAATGGAACTGTGAGTGCAACGACCAACGTAGAGAGAACTAAGATGGTTCTGAAAACCGTAGAGGCTCCTTTGGATCTCATAGTTCTCGACGAAGACGGTATAAGCTCTTCTAGGCTCAGAACGACTGGAGCGATCGTTAAAGCGTATTTCGTCATTGGCGTAACGAGCTAATTATCAAACCGTGAAAGAAAATGAGATAACTACTAAGAGCATATACATATATACTTTCCAAGGTTGTCTGTCTAACCGCTGTCCAGGCTGCAATTTTCGATGAGGTGAAATGTTGAGGGATGTTGAGTGTGAACTGGGATTGAATCGCGTCACCAAACATGCTGTATCCACAAACTGCTACAGAGATGTAAAACACCGTGCAAAAACCGAAACTGCATGTTTTTTCGTGAGATTAGTAGGGCTGGAAACCAGACCTAAGGTTTCTTGCATAACAAGTAAAAGTTATATTTTTTGGTTTAACCTGGCGAGAAGAACCATAGGAAACTTGGAAGGTTCTTTCATGGATGAGTAAATGTTTGGGAAAACAGAGTGACTCCCAAAACCGAACCCGTAAATTCCGATTGCGAATGGTAAGTTAGTTAAATCGAGAGCTTTCCCGCTCAGGTGAAATCCAATATTGTCGACTGTTCCAGCCCAAAAGAGGCAAAGTGCAAGCAGTATTGAAGAGAAGACACCCCCGGCTAATTAAGAAAAACAAACATCACTTAGAAATAAAAGAAATCATATCTGAAATATATTTATGTGAATTACGAGACGAACCTGAGAGATAGGACAATAAGCTAAGGTCCCTGAGCCAGACAGTCGGAAGAACAATAAGAGTCGCGCTAATGGCGAAAACTTGATTAGCGTCTAGAGACACTCCGTTGACGTAGAAGGAGGTGTTTGGAAACATCCCTGCTAGATTATCACTCATCATGATTATGTATTCCACACAAGTTGCCTAGAATAAATAAAAAAAGAAAAATAATTAAAGTAAGGAGAGGGAGTGAAAATGGTTTTCAAATGAAAAATATTTGACATGCATGAAACATGAAAGAGAGTTTGATACTTACATATAACTCCACATAGAGAAGTATCTGAAATGCAATTCGAAACCCAAAGTTAGGATCACACAGAATCAAAGTTATGAATGATATTTGAAAGAAGAAAAGAAATATTTACAGAGGCGAGGATGCGTCCAGTGGTGCCGAAAGCCGCTTGACCGATGTCAGGGTAAGTGTGGATCCCAGGTGAATTCTCGAGACATCTCTTGAGGAGAATACCTGTGTAGAAAGTGATGATGCCAAAGGCGAAGAGTATTACAAGCCCTAACCACCCTCCTTCTTTTACTGCGTAAGGCATTGTTAGTAAAGCTCCTCCACATAGAACATTGATTCCTGCAACAAAGACAGTTAAGAAGTTGAAAGTATTAAACTGTGGAATGGAATAGATTTAGGTTATAAGTATATGCTTGAACCTTTTTTTTATACCAAACCGACTAATATAAAAGCCAAACACAAACCAATCGGTGGTTTTGTTTTCTTGTTTTCACATATACAACATATGAAAATTTAATTTTATTTTGGTAACGTGGGGATGTGTTGGATAAACTGGACTGTTTGCGTTTTGAAAAAAAAAGAAAAAAAAAAAAAAAGCAAACACAATCATAATTTGATTGAAATAGTTTTACTTTGACCGATCCAAGCAGGAAATTTTAATTCCACAATATATATACTGATAAAAGTTACTTCGATTTGATTATTATACCATTGAGAACGGATTGAGAGACCGTGCAGCTGCGACCTTCATGGGGAATAGAAAGATCCTCAGGGAGTGATAGCTTGAGATGAGAAGCAATGAATGATTTGATGGATGTTACACGAGAGTTGTGGATCTCATCATTGTCGACGAGAAGTTGCTGTTTGCTTGGGGATGAAGTAAAGGAACAGAAAGCAGAGCTTTGTCGCCTCTGGCGAAACGAAGATACAAAACTTGTCCTATTCGGAGGTGTAACTCCGGTCAACATATCCATAGATTGTCTGAAAATAACCCCACGAAAACTTAAAAAAAAAAGAATCTCTTAGAAAAAAAACGTACTGAGCAACTTTCTGTAATGACATACCTATAACTCCGAGGCCAGGTAACGGGATCGTTACTGGATCCGTTACGAGATAAAGGAGATGACGGAACGGAGCTCTTGGCTTGGCTTTCTTCGTCTTCTTCGTCATCTGTCTGATACGAATATACACTTTCTTGCTCGAAGGTCTCGTCTTGCGTCGTCATCAATTAAACAACACAGAGTTGAATGATAGAGGACGCAGTGAAAACGTTGTTCTGCTTTGTAGTTCCAGTATATATTGGCACGTCTATCTCTAAGTCCATGATCCTCGCACCCTTATCAATCAATACTATTTTTTTTCATAATAATAATACCCTTTTCCCCTAATGCAAACGTTTCTCGCTAGGTTATTATTTGAAAAAAAGCACGGAAATATTAAAATATTCACGTAATGGAAAATAGAGGCAAGTACATGTT